AATAACTGATGAAGCACACAGACAAGGAAATCGCTAAGGATATGTGCTGTAATATATGTAAATAACACAACTAACAAAAAACATATAACCATAGAGAGAAAACTGCTCCTAGTGACTGCAGAATACACATCTACTTGAGTACACATAAAGCATTTCAACATTTTTTTCTCATCTACTGGGCCAGAAAGTAAATTTCAGCTATGTCAAAGGATTGAAACTATACAGAATATGTTCTCTGTTTTCAATGTCATTAAGCTAGAAATCAGTAACAAAACATAACTAATCTATATTCATATCTATCTATCTATACAGTAGTTCCCCTTTTCATGGGGGGATATGTTCCAAGATGCCAGAAACTGTGGATGGTCCTGAATTATGTACACTGTAGTTTTTTTTAAAAAAATACATTCATACCTATAATAAAGTTTAATTTATAAATTACACACAGAAAGAGATTACCTAAAATAACTAATAATAAAATAGAACAATTATACTGTTGTATTAGTCCGTTTTGTGTTGATATAACAGAAATACCTGAGACTGGGTGATTTATAAGAAAAACAAAATTTATTGCTTACAGTTTCTGAGGCTGGGAAGTCCAAAGTCCATCTGGTGGTGGCAACGGTGACCCAGGGGTCTCACACTGCAAGATGGTGGAGGCAGAGAGAGCAGAGAGAGAGAAAGCCAGACTCTCCTCTTCTTTTAAAACTCTCAGAACCACACCTCTGACCACCATTTTTAATCCATTCACTACTGCACGGTCCTACAATCCAATCACCTCTCTAAGGCTCCACCTTTCAATTACCATAATAGGATTTTCCACCCTTTTAACGGTCACAGTGGGTGCCAAGTTTCTAATACATAAAACTTGGGGGACACAATTCAAGCTTCAGGGAGTTTTGGGGAGACATAATTCAATCCACTACAACTGTAATAAAAGTTATAGGAATGTAGTCTCCTCTTTCTCTGACTCTCTTGCAAAATATCTTACTGTATTGTAGATCTTAGCAACCTCAGCACACGATTATTTTTCTTATTAAGTTGAGAACTTTCACATTTTCACTTAAGGAAGCACGTTATGTCTCCTCTTTGGCAAATCCGAATTGCCAGTGTCACTACTTTTGTATTTTGGGGCCATTGTGAAGTAAAATAATAGTTACTTGAACTCAGGCACTGCAATACCACACAGTCGGTTTGGTAACTGAGGTGGCTACTCAGTGACTGTGTGCGACTGGGTGGCATACACAGCACCAATATGCTGGACAACGGGATGATTCCCCTTGTTGGGAAAAACACTGAAATAATTTTCTCACAAGCCTGCTTTGTTCTTGAAGTAATATCTTGTCCTTGAAACTGTTTGCTCGCTCTGGCTATTAATCGCTGCTTGCTTTTTTGGCTTTCATAACAAGAGCTTATCTGCACAGACCACATATGCTAGCTGAAATGCTGAGAAAAGAAAAAAAAAATATGTAAAACCCCTGGAAGAGTCCGCTTATAAAAAGCCTTGTCAGACTTAGTTTCAGGGTCCAGGATTTCAGAGCAAGAGCTCGTCTGGACCCGCTAACATAATCAACTCCTG